AAATTCCTTGGTATTATCAACTTGATTTTGATTAGTACCAAAAATTAACATGTCATCTACATATAAGCAAATTATAACTCCTTGTCCAGAAGCATCAAATCTGCTATATACACACTTATCTGCTTGGTTTAATTCAAAACCATTCGACAAAACAACGTCATCAAATTTTTGATGCCATTGTTTTGGTGCTTGCTTTAGACCATAAAGAGATTTCACCAACTTACAAACCTTATTTTCATTCCCAGGCATGACAAAACCTTCAGGTTGTTTCATATATATCTCTTCATCCAATTCACCATTCAAGAATGCAGTTTTTACATCCATTTGGTGAATCACTAAATTGTGTATAGCCGCAAGGGCTAATAACAATCTAATTGTAGAAATTCTAACAACAGGTGCATAGGTATCAAAGAAATCAATGCCTTCTTTCTGTCTAAAGCCTTGGATGACCAATCTCGCTTTGAACTTATCTATGCTTCCATCAACCTTCATTTTCTTTTTGAAGATCCATTTACATCCTAGAGGTTTGCACCCGGGAGGTAAATCAGTCAATTTCCATGTATTATTTTGCATAATAGAGTCAATTTCATCTTGAATTGCTTCCTTCCAAAATGCAACATCCCTTGAAGCCATAGCTTCATTAAATGTCTTAGGATCTTCCTCAATATTGAAACAATATTGATATTGAAATTCAATCTCATCTCTTGTTCCTTCCATCAAGTAGAGTTGAAAATCATCACCAAAAGATTTTGGTTTTCTTGTTCTTGTACTTTTCCTTACTTCAACATTTATGGAAGGCACGTTTTCAGAGACCTTTGAAGTAGGGGTCATATCCTTCGGTCTGGATATAGAAGTAAATCTTTCTTCATCAAAAATTGCATCTCTTGACTCTATAACTGTGTTTACAGATACAAAGTCATTAGGTTCTATAACATAGAACTTATACGCCTTGGAATGCATAGCATATCCAATAAAGATACAATCTATGCCTTTTTCACCCAAAGTTTTCCTCTTTGGTTCCGTAAGTCGAACAACGGCCCTACACCCCCAAACTTTAAAATAACTTAAGTTTGGTGGTTTTTTGTACCAGAGTTCATACGGGGTTGTTTTCATCTTTTTATTAGGAACTCTATTCAACAAGTAACATGCCGTTAACATTGCCTCACCCCAAAATCCTTCGCTTAAGCCCGAATAGGATAACATGGAATTAACCATTTCTTTTAAAGTCCTATTCTTCCTTTCTGCAACACCATTTTGTTGTGGTGTATAAGGGGCAGTTGTTTGATGTATTATACCAGTACTTTGGAAAAATACTGGATCATAATACTCGCCTCCCCTATCCGTTCGAAGAATTTTAATCAAGTTACTTTGGTGTAACTCTACCTCTTGCTTATAAATTTTAAATTTATCAAGGGCTTCTTCTTTTGCATGTAGCAAATAGACAAAGCAAAATCTGGATGCATCATCTATGAAAGTGACTACATATTTTTTATTTCCAAGAGAAGGGGTACTATGTAAGTCACATAAATCACTATGAATAAGATCCAAAATTTTACTTTCCC